TGATTCTTTGACTTTTTCAGTTGCATGCGTTAGGGAGTCATAGGATTGAAAGTAAATATAGAATTTTCTTTGTTTCGATTTGTAATACGACCCCTTATAATCATTGAAATGGCTGAATAATTTGTTAATAGTGTAATGTTTTTCAGCGATAGATGAACCATTCACATCTTTTGAATCAGTGAACGCATAGAAGCGTGTTGGTGACGTAATAATTGTGAAATTGTTCACGTCAGCCTTTTCATTATCATTTTCTTCAGTTTCAAACGTTTGTTCGTAAATATCTTCATCGGACCACATTGTTTTGTTTTCGTTTGTCGTTATTTGAAGAGGTATTGTTATTTTGTTGCAAGAAAGTTGATGAGTTTTGATTAGCATGCATTGAGGTGTTGGTTGAAATGTTTGATGATTCGGCTGGAATTTTTGGATCAATTTTCATGGTAGCTGTGTTTATATGTAAAAGGTGAAGTTTGATGTTCAGGAGAACTTGTGTCGATTTTAGAAGAAGGTATAAGTATAATAGAGTCTATGATATTTTCGATTGTCAAAGGAGGAACTTCGTTAGAGAGTTTTGTTCTTTTATTTGTAACTGGAACGTCTAAAGCGTTTGATTTGTTTTTTTGTAAAGTAGAGGCTGTTTGTTCTATATTATTATTGTTGTATGTTATAAAGTTTGTTAGATAAAGTTGATTCGTTTGTAAATTTTTGAGATTTTTGTATTTTGTTTAGTAATGAGCATGGTAAGAGAGAGCTTTCTTTCTAACGGATCACTGGACGTTGAGATATTCAAGTAAACGTGTTAAAAATATTCAATTAAAGCTTCGTAACCGGTATATTTTTGAATTACGGGATTGTACCAAATTGGGTTACACAAGATTCTAAATATAGACATATAGTTACACAAATTCCTAAAAAGGAAATTTTTGGCTATCGAAAATTGGAAAATCACCAAAAATGAGTTACACAAAAATCACAAAATGGTAATTCGTACAACATCAATTTACATGAGTCAACTCGAGTCAACTCGAGTTGAAATGAGTCAAATCAATTTATTGACTTGACTCGACTAATGACTTGACTCGAGTCAAATGAGTCAGAAAATTTTTGACTTGACTCGACTCAAACTCGAGTCAACTCATTTGACTCGTAAGTCAACTCGACTCATTAGGAGCTCTAATTTCAATATAATTGCAATTGTATTATTGGCTGAAATTATAAATCAATAAATTCTACTTTAAATAAAGGAGTCCAAATTTTGAAATTCGATCGTAAATATCTCAAGATAGGCTGATCCAAATTAATGAATATTAGCTTATTAGATTCGAATAGTTACGAGAATCAAATGGTTTTTTTGCCTTTTAACAATGCAGTATTGCTATAAGTTTATTAATTTTATATTGTATACTATATAAAATTTACAAAGAAAAATTACAAAATAGATAAAAAGCTAAATAAATGACTATCTTGTGTAATCTTATTGCTAATAAAAGCTCAAACCTGTTTAGATCGACTGATCACTTGAAATCTCTCCAACCTAACTAAAAAATCCATATTTAATGATCAAGCCATCAACAAGAAATTCAAATGAGGTTATCAATACAGCAATATAATTTCTAAATGCTTTTCAATCCTAACTTCTATATAAAAATATAAACAAACTAACAACCCTCCTAAGAAGGGAAATATGTACAAATAGAAATTATTAAAAAAGACTAACACAACTCAATAAGAACCTAAATGTCTAGTTAATTCTGGATATAAAGACCACCCAGCTAAAGAAGGTGTGTCTAAAGAAAAGTCTAAACAAAGGCTCTTCATACTTATAGATTCATAAATACAGAAAAAAAATATCATGTGAAATTCATTACGAGAACCCTACAATGTATCAACAGATAGTAACCTATACTCAGTGTTGTCATAGAATATGGACATGAACGTTAGACATCTGAAACAGGATAATCCGTATCTGTATCCAGAAATTTTTATGTTCTAAACAATTTGTTCAAGTCTGCAGTCATGATATACTGATCAAATTTTATTTCACTGAGATAAAACTTTATAATCCTAATTACTTTACCAATGCTCATTTAGCAGTATTGTCAAATATTTTTATGTTTGGGATATTTGGACGAATTTTTAGGCATCTTATATTTTCATTGGCTGATCATCATATGAGATTGAACTAGAAACGCACTGATTTTTTTGAATGCACATACTACTTTATTCAAACTTGTAGTATATGATACTGTATATACGTACTCAAGCAGGAAAGTTAGACATATTAGAAACAAGAATATAAAAAATATATCCCTGTATGCGAGACAGAAATGTAAATGTACAGTATATGCATAGTCTAGAATATTGCAATCCTGAAATCTTGAAAGAGGTAAGTTATAACAGAGGAATTCGTTAGTTAATTAGTTTATTTAAAAAATATTAATACTCATACTTCTTACTTTGTAGATTGGTCCTTCAAGTCTGTAAGAGCTTTATATTACGAATAAAGCTCCTTAGTGAAATCTGCAAGATTTGCTGCATTCCTCCAAACCATATCACTCAAAGTCTTTATTGCTCATCAAAAAGCAATCTCTTCTTCATTATTGTCAATTCTTTACGTAAGGATTAGATAAGTTCATCGTTTTATATTGTTTTTGTTTATAAATGGTACAGCATCATGATATCTAACTATTTCCTTAGCATCTTCACCTAAAAATTTATCTTAACTATCAAACCGAACTTGGACTTTGGCTTTTGAGTAAAGCACAAAGCAGCTAAACCAGAAAGACTGCCTAAAACTGAGGTAAATAATTTTGTCTACTGACATGACTGTTGTAATAGCGGAATTAGAAGTGGAGACAGGCGTATAAGATGCATTAGTTTCAGATATAGCAATAATATTTTATAGGAATATTTTGCTCAAATAAAATGTCCAGTTTCCTATCAAAAACGATAAGTTAGAATTTTTTCTTTTAATAATTAAACATTAATAAAATAAAAATATTCTAACTTATCTTTAGATTAGTATCTTCAAACCTTGGATTGATCGGAGGTAAGCCTATAGGAAAAAATGTTAATTTTTTTATAAAAATTAAAATAATTAAAATAAAAATTATTTATCTTTAGATTTCAGTATAATAGACTGGATTCTTTATATCTTGTATTAATCAGAAATAAGTCTATAGGAAAAAAAATGTTATTTTTTTTATAAAAATTATAACTCTAAAATATAAATTATTCACCTTTAGGAGATTTACAGTATAATGGACCAGATTCTTTATACCTTATATTAATCGAAGGTAAGCATATAGAAAAAAATGGTAATTTTTTTTAAAAAATTAAAAAAAAATAAAAAAATATATAACTAAAATAAAAATTATTTACCTTTAAAGTATAACAAACTGGATTCTTCTTTTCTTGATTAGAGAAAAGGATTGTTAATATTTTTTTAAGTTAATTTCTTTTGAATTTGCCTGCCAATCTGTGATATTAATTAATATGTATAATATTTAGCTTTTTAATTAATTGTATTTTACAAAAGTAAAATTTATTTAATAAATGAAAAAAAAATTATAATACAATTAGAATGGTAAATTTAACTCATTTTTAAAAAGAGTTAATAATTTCCATTTAGCATTTAAGTCAACAGTAGGATGAACAATATTATCTATAATATTATCTTCAAAATATTTTCATCATTTTCATTAAAAATGCTAATTCCTTCCCCTTCTAGCATTTCTGCCCAATTTTGAAGATATTCATTAAATTCATTTTCCAATTGAAAATCCATTTCGTTTTCTAATTCATCTTGTACTATTTTATGTTCTTCTTCTATTAATATTACCGCTTCTTCATTTGTAATATTTCTTAAATTATCAGAATCTTGATCATTACTAATATCCAAAATAGGTTTGATAGAAGTTGGTTAAGAAGTGTTATTACTAAGACGATGTTTATATGTGATATCAGCTCTTAATTTACTAATTTTAAGAGCTTTAGAAGACTATATACAATAAGAAAATAAATTAGAATATTAGAATATAATAATAATATTTTATAAAGCATTAACATACCTTTAAACGATTCTGACATTTTGATTGTATAAATCCTATACAACTCCAAAGTCTTTTCACAGAAGCTGCATTTATACAAAATATCTTACAGGTTACAAAACCCAGTTCATTTGTTAAAATACTAACATAACACCAATACGTTACATATCACCATTAAATTGCTTATATGAATCAAATTCATATGGATATTTAGCCAACCGAAAATCATCAAATTCACAAAGAATGCATTTTGGTTCTTTTCCAGACTATGCATGATAATAATACATGAGCCATCTACTAAATTAATATCAGGAATTGTGTTATTAAATTGTTGTATTCTATATTCTGGATGTAATAAAAAAATAATAAAAGAAGCGACTGCTCCTATTATTTCTAGCGTTTTTCTAATCAGCTAATTAAATGTGTAGATAAAGTATTATCTGAATAATTAAACTAAAATTGAATTAAATAACCCATGCTATGCAGAACTTGAAATAAACATGCTTTATCATATTGTAATATATTAAGCAGTCTGCAATATGGATATAAAATTTTACTAACTATTGTAATATTTTTCCAAAATGTAGTAAAATTAATAATTTCAAATATATTGCGTGGTAAAGTTAAAATTTCATCTGGTCGACAAGGCTTAACAAATAGTGGTTCATATTTAATTGCTAATATCTAATATTATATATCTTTTATTAATAATTATATATACTAATAAATTTGCTAAATAATAGAATAATATTACTTACTTGCAATACCTTTTGAGTTTTTAAAAGGCTAGTACACATATTAAAAAAACTATTCCATTGCGTTTTTCCTAGAACAGATATAGTATATATTTTTGATAAATTTCATATTGCTAATCTCATAAATGAGCAATAAAAAATTTATGGTTTGCATTTTTGAAATAAACAGTAAGCTGAATTGCATAATCAATGGTTGTTTTACATTCTTTGAAAATTTCTCCCACACAAAGATTAATCTGGTGAGCAAAACATAGTAAAAAAATAATTTATCTATTGGAAAATCTTAATCATCATCTTATATAAAAAAAATAAAAAATTATTATAAAAAATACTATACATAAATTAAAAAATGTAATTTCAATATACCGAGTTGCCATATATGTTGATGTGCTATCAGTAACAATAACATAAATTGTAATTTCTTTATTCTTTAATTCAGAAGCATTAATTCTGTTTTTTTGATTATTTCAACATAATTTTCACGAACAGAACTAATATCAACTGCTTTCTATACATAAGGTTTTCCTTCTGAAGTTATTAAAACTGAATCTAATAATTGCTCATTTTTTACATTCGTTCATCCATCAAATGTTAAAGTTACGCCAACTGGATCTTCTTTAAGTGCAATATCTATTATCATATCTACTTCAGTTACAGCTTGTTTCAAAATTTGACCACCAAGAGTATGACGATCAGGTAACTTAAGAAAAGGATTTAAAAAATTAAATAATTCTTTTACTTCAGGATTATTAACCCATGATAATACCCAATCACAAGAAACCATTAATCGAAGTATTAATATATAAAATTTTTGTAAATCCTCTTTAGATAAAAGTCTGATAATATAATTATCCATAGGTCCAAAAGATAAAGACTGAATAATTATTTTATTAGAAGAATTTAATGAAGTTAAAGAAAATTGTAGTGACATAGAATCTGAAAATATAAAAAAAATTAGCTTAATACATTAATTTAACTAATTATAAATTATTAAATATTAAAATTTACATGGTCCCTTGTTTAGATTTTGAGTTATATTTAATTTAAAGATTTTATTTCTTTCTTCTGGAGTTATTTTATTAATAAAATTAGGACATTTCTTAAAATAAAGTAATATACAATCTTTTTTATTTGGAAACTATATTTCATGACCTTTTTCTTCTCCTAATACTTCTATACATGACTTACAAAATGTTTTTAAATTACATTTATTAACTTTAATCTCA